TTAATTGTTTGATAACTAAATTTAAATTGTAGTAACTTTAATCGCTTATGCAACAAATTTGTTTTCATAATAAACTATTTATTTTTATTTTTAAATTTTTCGTCTATATTTATACATTTAATAAATTTATCAACATATATAATGAGTGTATTAATATCCAATTTAAATGTCTAGATAAATTATATATTTTAATTATTATCAAATGATATTTGACTATATTATTCTTTTTACTCAATTTTCTTTATTAAATAGTATATAATAAGAAATATAATTTTTTACAACTTAATCGTTTTTTTTATGTATATAGATATTTCTAATGTAAAACTCATACTTCTTAATTTCACTCGACCATCAAATAATAATTTTATTAATATATTAAATTTAATTTCAATAGTATATCTAATAAAATAACATATTCAATGGATATATACTTTTTAATGATTATGTGATTATATTTTATTAAATTTCGTTATTACTGTAAATTATTCATTGTTAAAATGATTCAAACATAATTCTTCTGATTATTTGTTAGATATTTTAAGTGCTTCTGAACGGTTAACATAATTAATAAAATTAATGTCTACAACAATGAAATGACAATAAAATTAATCAGCTAACTAATCTTCAGAACTTGTTTCTCTCTCATAACAGACTTTCAGGGAGAATGCCTACCTGTCTCAACAATCTTACCGGATTTACTGAAGAAGGAGTTCCATATGAGGTTGCTGATTATTATACATTTCAGGAAAGGGCATCAATTGCCACAAAGGGACGAGAACTCACTTATAAGTCCAATCTCTTTCTATTTAAAAATATTGACCTTTCTATGAACAATTTGTCTGGTGATATCCCAAGGGAGATAACAAGTCTAGTTGAACTCATATCACTGAACCTGTCACGAAATAATTTAACAGGATCAATCCCGGACAACATTGGAAACATGAAGCAACTCGAATCTCTTGATTTCTCCATGAATTCACTGTCAGGAAAGATTCCAAGTAGCATGTCAATCATGACTTCTCTGAGCTACTTGAATCTATCGTATAACCACTTGACAGGGAGAATCCCACAAAGCACCCAAATTGGGAGCTTCAACGAGTCGAGCTTCATCGGCAACAATCTTTGTGGCCTTCCACTAAGGATTTCTTGCAAAAATGATGGAAATTCCCCTGCCCCGACACAGGTGCATATTCAAGGCAGAAAAAGCAAAAAGCTAGAGATTGATTGGTTTTACGTATTCTTATCATTTGGGTACGCAGTTGGGCTTTCTGCTGTCCTCTCTATATTGTTTTTTAAGAAGAAATGGAGGGAAGCTTATTATGGGTTCTTTCAGAAAATGTGGGACAATGCTTATGTGTATTTCATTATCAAATGGAGGAGGCTCATGAGAGCGTTGGGTCGAAATCACTAATGGCTCCGTCAACAAATTATGCATGGACCTCGCTGCTGACAGAGGACTTTAAGCTATAATGTCTGTGTGGTGTTTTAATTTTGGGTAAATTGCGCCAAACCCCCCTGTATTATACAAAATCTGCGCGTTATCCCCCTGTATTTTAAAAATTGCGCCATACCCCCTTGTATTATACTTTTGATTGCGCGTTATCCCCTAAACCGTCTAACTTGACGGATGTGCATTTTCACGCGCGTGTGGTGCGGCTTTTTCTCCATTTTTTCGCAAAAAATTCAGGGAAATGACTATTTTGCCCCTTAATACCTGAATTGAATTGAACATCCGTCAATTTTTTTTCTTCAAATCGCAATCGAAGTTCTTTCATTTTTTCTTCAATCGAGTCCAATTTCTAAGGTGGTTTTTGATTCTGCAATTCACTTATCGATCGGAAGAAACCATTATCGAATCAAAAGATCGATTTCCTTAACCAAAAACCCAGTTCAAATCCATCATAAAAGTAGAAGCACATCTCATATACATTACAGAATCTTGCAAAAACAATGATACATCAAGAGAAAGATCGCAAGCGAATTACATCAAAAGGTGCGATGAAACTCACCAAGATCGCTGTACTATGGCCAAAGTTTGAGATCAAAGTGCAGCAGAGTCGAAGCAAAAGAAGCGTGTTTAAAGTGAAATTAGGGTTTTCTTTCTCCATTTTGTCTCTTTTTTTATTCTATTAATTTTTTTTGTTCTTATTTGGGCATTAATTGTGTAGGATCCAAAGAGAGAAATCCATTCAAATTTCAGTGTATTAAAATTTGTTCGCACTTCTTTTTTTTTCATTGTTTATCAAAAGAGAGATCCATTCAAATTTCAGTGTATCAAAATTTCTTCGCACTTCTTTTTTTCAATGTTTATCAAAAGAGAGAGATTTCTTCGCACTTCTTTTTTTTGTTTAAAGAAGCATGCCCAGCTGGAGAAAAATTAATGCCATCAATGTATTAAAATTTCAATGTTTGTTTATCAAAAGAGAGAGATTTTTTTAGACTGACTGAAATTGTTTGTTTCTGAGAGCATAACGGGAAGTTAAGCAAAAAATTAACGGGGTTAACACGGAATCAAAGAGGGGGGAGCATGCGCAATCAAAAGTATAATACAAAGGGGTATGGCGCAATTTTTAAAATACAGGGGGATAACGCGCAGATTTCGTATAATACAGGGGGGTTTGGCGCAATTTACCCGTTTTGATTTTAGTCTCTAATGTGTGTGTTTTTAAATAAGCTGTTGAGATGTATTATGTTCTTTATTTTATCATTGTCTGCTGTAAGATTTTATATCTAATAAATAGGCAAATATTATCCCTTTTTTCACTCTATTTTTCTTACTTTTTTTTTTTCTTTATTCTTCTTACTTATCTGATACTTTGTTCCATAGTCTTTGACTCTTTATGTGTTTTATTGTGGTGGTCTCATTCTGCTTGTTTAGTTTAAAGGTTCTGTTGTTGTTGTTTTTTTTTTTCCTTTTTTTTTTCGAATTTCTTCCGAATTTAGTGCGGATTTGTGGAATCATTTATTTATTTAAAAAAAATAAAAAATAAGTGGACTAAAATAAAACAAAAAAAAAATGTGGACAAAAATAAAACGGACGGATTCTCAAAATCCGTGTTTTAAAGAAACACGTATTTTAAAAATCCGTGTATGTGTAATTTTACTACGAACACGGATTCCAAAAATCCGTGTTCTTTTAATTATGAACGGAACACGGATCACTAAAATCCGTGTTCACTTAATCTCGTAATTAAGCTAATTAACTAAACAAAACACGAATTATGATAATACGTTTTTCGTAAACACGAATTATCGAATTCCGTGTTTAACTTGCAAAACGGAATTTCAAAATCCGTGTTTAAGTATTTATTCATTTTTTTTAATATTAAAATCAACACGGATTCTGAAAATCCGTGTTTATGTAGATTTAGAATATAAATATTTTTTTATAGTATATAGTTTTTTTTAATATATACTATATACATATATTTTATAATTGACTGAGATTGTTATATAATAAAATTTAATTTTTTGGTTTTGTTTATTTATTTATTTATTTTGAGTTAGAGCTCGACTCTTGGATGCTCACGAGCTTCCTACTACCGAACGCGTTTATTTTGGCTGAATTTATATTGTTATCTTTCAATATGAAGATTTTTTATAAATTTTGATTTAACATTTTTAACACGAAACAATATCACTTTAATATCAATTCATTCGTCAACTAATAATCTAGTACAAAAAAGTGAATCACAATTAACGATAAAAAAAATGAACCACGAAATATGTACACAAAACCATCAAATTAAATATCTCAAAATCCAATACAAAAAATAAAACTAACTAACTAGGAGTATATGGATTCCTGGGCTTGCGTACTCGGGACCCTTTCCGAGGAGGCCGTGGTACTGAAGAAGACGATGTTGCAGTCTGTCCAAGCGTGATTGGCTCTTGTTCTTCTTCACAAAATTAATTAATTTTTGAAAAAAATTAATATTTCGACCGAACAAATAAAAAAAAAGAAATGAAAATAAATACATATTTGTAGTTAAGTAAAAAAAAAATCTCACCTTGTTCGTCTTCTTCAGTCCCGGGGACTGCAGTGGCGGGTTCGGCTGCACGGCGTCTTCTCCCTCCACCCCCTCCACCAACGTTGGCCGCCGTCTACGCCTCGCCCGTTGGG